AATTCTTCCCTGTGTAGGAAGCATTCTTACTTTTTTTTAAAATATTGTCAAGCTGGTTTCCATATAACACCCAGTGCTCATCCCCACAAGTGCCCTCCTCCATGCCCATCTCCCCCCTCCCTCTCCCCCCCATACCCATAAGTCCTCAGTTTGTTCTCAACATTCAAGAGTCTCTCATGGTTTGCCTCCCTCCCTCTCTCCCACTATTTACCCCCTTCTTCCTCCCCATGGTCCTCCGTTAAGTTCCTCCTAATCCTCCTATACATGCAAACATATGGTATTTGTCCTTCTCTGCCTGACTTATTTCGCTCAGCATAACACCCTCAAGATCAATCCATGTTGCTACACATGGCCAGATTTCATTCTTTCTCATTGCCATGTAGTATTCCATTGTATGAATAAACCACATCTTCTTGATCCATTTCGTCCATTGATGGACACTTAGGTTCTTTCCATGTTTTGGCTATTGTTGAGAATGCTGCTATGAACATTGGGGAAGCATTCTTACTTCTTAATGAACTATGACGTGTGTGTTTCCATCCTGCCAGGCATGCAGCGCCACGGCCGACACCGTGAGGGAGGAAGAGAGTGCCGGCCTGTGGGCAGGTCGTGGCTGCGGGGTTCCAGACGCGGGCTCAAGACAGTATGTGCCTCAGACATGGCCGAAACCAGAGAGGGGCGAGAACTTGTACAACTGTATGGAGACCCTCTCAAAGGACCACAAACTTAAAAATGCGCCAGTTCCCTCCTAAACTTCAGGCAAAAGAAGACAGGAAATCATAATTTACTTTAGCTTTATTGAAGACATATTACAGTAGACAAACAGGTAGACGAACAAACACATGCTTTATAAAATATACATTCTCGTGTGTGAGAAAATATAAACAGATACTAGGAAAGGACCACACTGAACAACAACTTGGCTTTTAACTCTCTTTAGGTACATCTAGTACCAGGGCTACTCAGACCGATGTCCTCTGATGGGATAAAGCAGGGGAAAGGAGAGGGTAGAAACAGTCTCTCTGTGGATCAAGAGCCACTTTAAGTAGCCAAGAGATATTCCAAGAGCACTTGACTACCCAACGATCAATTTCTCTTTCAAGACAGTTACAGTTGATAAAAGATCACTTTATTCTTTATATCTAAAAACAGACTCAAATCAAGCTGACTTTTCAGCTTCACCCCACTCATTGGTGGAGATTATCAGGAGTGCTAAGACACACTCAACACACAACCTTGAGGGAGCAGGTCCAAAGATTACACAGACACACACACACACACACACACACACACACACACACACGGCCCTACCTCTTATCACCCACAGAATCTTCAGATGATTTATGGGCTTGCAGGTGTCGTTTTGTAAAGAACAGCTTGTAACATACATCTCTTAATTCAGAACTTGTTATTTTTGTCAACAAACCAAGCAGTTGTCCAAAAAAGAAAAAAAATTAAGACTGCACTCTAAACAAAAAAGTTCTAAGTTAGAAGCAGGAGGGGGAAAACGTGTGCCAGACTGAACTGGGAAAGAGGCCATGTCACAGAAGAACGAGCCATTCCTTGCGGGCTGCCAAAATTCTCAGCGCAACCTCGTAAGGCCCAGCTGCTTCACAATTACCAGTGCTGCAATCAGCACTGAGAGGCAAACTCAGAAATGGAGCATGTAGCATAAAAACGGCAGTAAATTTACCTCTGTGGCTCCATTACCTTCTGGCAATTCTGTGGCTATTATAATTATTTTGGGAAAGGCCGTAACACACTTGGGTAAAATACTGGGTGTGAACGCCACAATTCCAACCCCATTTCAACTGGAGTCCTGCTGATAAGAAGAAACAGGAATAAAAATTAAAGAGTAAAAAGGACGGTTGTAATACATTATAAAGGCTTTTAAAGTTTTTATTATGGTAATGCCATTTGTGTTAGTAACTAGTTCTATAGATTTCTGCAAAAGAATGAGCCCAGAGTTTCACAGTTTTAGCCATTAACACAGAACAGGCTCCTTCTGTCAACCCAAGACCAAAACTCTTTAGTTGAAAAAAATTCCTTTAGTGCTCTATACTTACTGTATTTGAAGGATTTTGAAGGAAAAAGTTTTCAGACTGTCAGATTGCTTCTGGAAATTTCCAACAATAAAATTGAGAGAGTCCTAAAAGTCGTCTCACCCATATTCCATTCTCAACGTAGAAATTTCTTCAATGCTATGAGCCAATGATTATTTGGCTTCTGAGCATACTTTCCGCACAAAACGCTGATTATTCCAGTTATTGGATAAATTTGTTAGAGAATTAGTTCATACAAAATTACTGGCAAATGTATACTGCACTTCCCTGTAACTTGTGTCCCACAGAATGGGGGCAGGTACAACCCCTGTCCTCAGGAATAAAAAGAGTGAATTTCATCCCATTTCACGGCAACATTTTAAGTAATTAAAGACTTAGATCGTATCTCCCATCCCTTAGGAAAATGGAGAACAGAGTCTAAGCTGCTTGACATCTTACTGTTCCTTTTATAACCCATCAATGGGCGGTGTGAAGGCAACTCTTTAAATATTAAGGTTACCTTTCAGAAAAATACACATAAAACACTCTGAGATGGCACATTAGAGGGTTTCTGACACTGTGCATCCCACAGAGTAACTTGCACACTAGGGAAAGCACTTTAGCAGCTGCTGAATGACAGAAAGCCAAAGGCTTAGGTGTAAACCATGTGCAGGGAAAGCACGGAGTTTAAGATGGTATTTCTTCAGATAGATTTGATGAGTCAGTCTCAGAGGGGCACAAATTAAGAGGATTTATGTATAGCTACTGATAAAGGCTAACAATGGGGTGAGGGGCAGAGGGTATTTCCCTTGGCGTTTTGATTCACCTGGCTTCTGCCACATCACCGATTAAAGAGGCATGAGGCAGACACTGCATACTGGGAAGAAACCCTGATGAGCCACTAACTCTGTCTACTACTAGAGAGGGCTAGATCACTTCTTGGTCAAAAGTATATGCAAAATAATGAAAAATTTCAGGAATTTCTTTTCCTAAGATTAGAATTTATTTAATTATTTAATTATTTAATAATTTATTAAATTATTTTTTTTAAGATCAGAGGTAAGGCTCTTCAAATTTAAATAAAACCTTGACTTGTTTTTGTGGTTATTTAGGCAACCATCTAGGAGGGCATCTCAGCCGTCTTAAGTGAGGTAAGGGAGAACCCGGCTGTTCAGGAGACCAGACCAGTCCTAGGAGTAGCAGGGCCACTGCCAGAGCGGAGCCAGTGCATGTCCTCGAAGTTTTCTGGGATGCTGGTTTGCAGCCTGCTTGTTGGCCCTGTCCCCTGTAAGAGCCTTGCTCTAACTATACCTTTTCACTCACGAAAGTCTGCCAGAAACTGAGGGGGAGTACAGGGTAGTTACAGGGTAACCCTGAATATACTGGAAAGGTGAGGAGGTCACAAACCAGCCACAAATCAGCTGTGGCACTGGCCTCCAGGGCTGCTTCAGAGAGGGCGGCTGGTGGCTTCGAGTCAAGATTCTTTGTTTGCTGAGACTGGTTGAAAGCAGAGTGTTTCTTCTAGTCGTGAGCATTTCTCACGCTGTCACCCCTGCTACGGAGGAAGGGAGTCTGGCTCAAGCCAGGGGAAGCAGCACCACCCCGTTACTCTAACAAACATCCCATGAAAGCAGCTTCTTATTAGAGTAGCCTAATCCTCCTTGGCTCCTGGAGGGATCACAGATTCACAGGACATTACAGCTGGAAAGGGCTTTGGGCTAGCTAGCAGAACGCCCTCATTTCAGAAATGAGAACATCAGTGGGGGGAGTGGAAGGGGGGGTGATGGGCATGGAGGAGGGCACTTGTGGGGATGAGCACTGGGTGTTATGTAAACCAACTTGACAATAAACTATTTAAGGGGAAAAAAAAAAAGAAATGAGAACATCGGGCTGAGAAGTGAAGAGACTCGCCCCAGCTGCACAGCCAGTAAGGTGCAGAGCTGGGAATGAAATCCCACCTCCCATTCTCAGTCAGTCCCATACAGATTACAGTAAAACCTGGTAGGAAGAAGAGCCACCAACTGGGAGGGCAGAAAACTGGCGGTACTGAAGCAGCTCAATGTAAAAATGCACAGAAGTTGACAGTTTAAAAAGGAAAGACAGGAAGGCTTGGCAGGAGAAACAGCTAAAGAGGTGCTGCTGTCTGTGGGAGAAAAAAAATGAGGATTGAGTATCAGTGGGAATTCAACTTTCAGCAAAAAGCAAAGATATTATATGAGTTTAGAACCCTTGAAATGTGTAGTAACTTAAAAACAGATTTCAGGGATGGATGTTATCCAGGACGTAACTAGCATTCACTAGGTTTAGAGGGCAGAATCTGACAGCCTAGACAAGGAAATCTGAAAGCATAAAGAAAAAAAGAACTTTGGACCATTACATTCCATTAGAGTGTGAAGACCTTTGTTCACAGAAAGCTTTTTGCTATCACAGAAATTCAAGAGAGCTTTTTGGCTTAGATAATCACTTGTACAAAACCAGGACCACTCTAAAGCTTTACAGTATAAGAATTTATGTACATTCAACGACTCCCAAAAGCACTCTTCCCTTAAGATATACTGTGCATTGGCAGAAGAGATACTGTATTTTTAAAAAATAGAAAAGAAGCAATCTTTGGTTTCCTCATCAACAAAGTACTTTGCTGAAAGAAGATATTCCCAAAAGAAAATTTCCTTTGTCTGTGTGCACATGGCTATAACAAGAATGCTAGCTAGTCTTTTGAGTCTTTTTATGCTAGAAAGGTAGTAGGACCTGGCACCTGCCAACAGACAACAAATGACTAGATGTATGAACCTTTAGGTATGAAGAAAGTGGTTAATCACACCAAGACTGTGTTTGTGTGTATGCAATTACTAGGTACCCTCCTCTACATATACTTCTTAACAAATACATCTTTAAACTAGCAAAGTCTTTAGGTTCACTAAACCAAGTTATACAAAATCTGTCTGTGGTCTGAGAAGCTGCTGTCAATATTATAATTGGATATTATATATAATTTTGGCATATCAAAAATATTTACAATGCAGCCAACACATACGGTCAATGAATACAAAAATTATTTATAAATGCACATGTATTTACAATAAGATCCCTGGGCGATAGGGACCAAAAAAAGAAAGAAAAAAAAAAGATTCACAAGAATACAACACCCACTGATATGGTTAATGGTCAAGCCTGGGATTCTTATCAAAGACTTTGAATATCAAAGCCCAGTCTCTACTACAAGCTTAAAACCACTGAAGAATCCCAGACATGCTTCCCAGAAGGCTCCAAAGTTATTTGTATCCCTTGGAAGACAAAACAGAACAGTGGTGTTTTATCAGAATCATTCCACAGGTTGAGACAATCCGGCACGTTAAGCAGCAATGAGACTCTTCCTAACAGGCAATGCACAGCCGGGCACATCCGCGTGGAACCATCAGGAGGCACGTTCGTTCTGTATTTCCCTCTGCACATGGAAATTACCCATTTCTGTCCACCACGGCCCCTTCTTCATCAGGTATAAGCCCAAACAAACGCCCAGCCCACCCTGGTGTGGTCAGATGGAACTGCAGACAGGGTAAAGCAAATGCTGACTTCGGGGTTTCTTCTGAACTCTGAGGTAGTAAATACAAAATTAATTACCTTGAGTCTTTGCCCAGATTTCCTCCTGGAGTGGGATTCATGTGCCCTCACAACTGTCTTGAACGTTCCAAGTCCTACTAAAGTCAAAAGTGTGGTCGTGCAGCCTGTGACAGGGTCCGGGGGACACGGAACAGTCCGGACTGCTCTCTGCCAGCCCCTCACTCCGATGGAGCTGCGGTGACTCCATCACCGGCTGCTGGGGGAGGGGAGGCTGGGGTGGGCCTCGTTCTTTGCCTGCACTCCACAGAAGCCGCTGCGATGTTTCTGACAATGAAAGACAATAATCAGTGGCAAACGGAAGTTCAAAATGAATGGTCTAAAACTTAATTTTCTTCTACCCAAATCCTCCAAAAACGAGACTCTCAATATTCCTGAATAAGGACACTGAGAGCAAATGCAGACTTGCCCTCTTCTCAGCAACAATTAACAAAAGAAAACAAAATAGAAACGGGGACCATGCTCTCCCAAGCCCTTCCACCCCACACACCTAACCAATTATTTACCAGGAGACATGTCTTCTCCTTTCATCTATTATTAGTGGTTCTGCGCTTCAAAAACTTAAAAATAAAATTCTTTAGACACATGGAAACAGACTAAAATAGCATCCATACTGTCGTGAAAGTTGCTTGACACACAGACAGAAATTGCTCATTCAATGCAGCCATTACGTCTTTAAACAACAAATGCCTGTTAAAAAAAAAATGTTTTAAAAATAAACACTCATTTCCCTCCAGCTTCTAGCATGCCAATAAATCTAACAAAATAATCACCCAAAGCAGCAATTTTAAACCAGATTATCTGTACTTCGTGATTTCAAAAATATGCATTTCTCGTTCACCTACTGCGGTGGTAAGCTCTTTCCCCAAATATCAGTTGCTGGAAGTTGTATTAACTTCATGGGAATGCATTTTGGAAAAAGTTAGCCAAACATTCTGGAAACAAACACTCAGAAATAAAAACAAAACCCAAGTGAAAACAGAGCTGGCACAGTGCTTCTTAAAGAGCTTTAAAGTGCATACAAATACCCTGGGGATCTTGTTACAGACTCCGGCTCACTGGGTCTGGGGGGAGCTCGGTCTGCATTTCTAACAAGCTCCTAGGTGATGTTGAAGCTGACACCACACGTTGCGTAGAAAGGAGCTACACACCCCACTTAGGAATGAGCAGGGCATGGGGCATCTGTGTGGCTCAGTCGGTTAAGGAATGAGCAAGGCACCCACGCATTCGTTTGCACACCTCTTCACTTACAGACTGGCTTAACAATTAAGATGTCCCCAAAGTTAAGAAAATGATGCACTGCATTTTTGCTTTTACTCAAGTTTTTTCTATGTGTGTAACTCTTTCAAGACACAGGAACACAGACTCAGTGTTAGTACACCTCTTCCACGGGCACTGAACTTCAGTGACAATACACTGTTCTCTGACTTGCATCCTCTTTAGCAGTCTTTGGAGATGGTTTCTTAATTAACTGTTGCATAGGTATTCAAAATTTAGGGGCGCCTGGATGGCTCAGTCAGTTAAGCATCCTACTCTTGACTTCGGCTCAGGTCGTGATCTCCCGGTTTGTCAGATCAAGCCCTGCCTCAGGCTCTGTGCTGACAACGCAGAGCCTGCTTGAGACTCTTTCTGTCCCTCTCTCCGCCCCTCCTTCCTCTCTCAAAATAAATAAATACACTTAAAAAAATATACTGCTAAAAATAAGAAGGAAAAAAAAAAAAAAAAAAAAAACACATATCTTAAAAGTCCCAGGTCAGATCATTTACTCCCACCAGAGCCACCCCTGGATGCACCTATACTTCCCCCCCACCCCCGCCCTGCCTCTCGCCCCCAGTTTCCTGAGCTCTTCCATTTCAGGTTGAGAGGAGGGTGACAGCTGATGAGAAGCCTGGATGGACAGGAGACATGTTCAGGAGTACCCTTCATGGTCCAGAAGGGGTTCTGTTTTACTGACCAAGTTGTCAGCAAACGCTTCATCTGCACAGTATAACATGTATTTCTTTTCCCGGGCCACATGGGCCAGCAGACACGGTCCCAAAACTGCTTCCTCACTTACGGCCCTGGATCCTAATACCTCCCAGCCGAAAGCAAACACCAGCTAAGTGATACCAACATTCAATATTTACCTGCGAGAACAGTGATTTAAATCATTTTTAAATCTTCTCTGTAAAAACCTCCACCAAATTATGCCCAAATTATATCCTTAGCACTTCTAATCTGCATTATGTAAATAATGATGGAAGAAAAAATTGACACCTATATGAAACCTTTTAGAAGCTTGTCTATACGGCTTCTGAGCTTTAGAAGTGTGATCTTGATCCTCCCACAAAAGCTGTTTCCATCCTACAGATGCAGACTTCTCTGTGACCCTAATCTCTAAAAATCTCTGGCTCTAGTTTCTACCAGCTAACAGTAGCTAATTACTACATTACACCAATATGTTTGCTTCCTGTCAAATCAGAAGGAAAAATCAAGTGGGGAGGGAGAAGTAAAAACTAAGCAAAACAAACAAAAAACGCTGTGCCCTTTACCACTGTTCATCTGTGTGAAGGGAAGTTTCTTCTCATTTATCCTCTCATGGTTGGTGGGAAAGGCAGCCAACTCTCTGTCTGCTGATGACACCAGGCCCTCCAAGACAGGGGCATCTGGGGAAGCATGTGCCAAATATGTTTCTTTGGGCATCTGGACCATGAGGCTGGACAGCGCGTGATCCAGAACATCCTCCTCGGCAATGTAGGTGTACGGACAGTATTCTCGGGTCCTGGAGTAGATGTTGGCATTGTCGTAACAATCGGAGCAAATAACCCGGGTACCAGTGCCACCTGATGACAACAAAGGAAAGAATCCTTCAGTTAAGGAAGCAGCTTTGCCAATCACTGGCTTTCTTCACCAGCTGCCATCATCATCACCGTAGCTGGCCCTGATTCAGCACGTACTCGATAGACCAGGTAAAGTTTCACGGTCTTTCTGTGAATTAACTAACTTAATCCTCACAATCTCCCTATGAGGTCGGCACTATGGTTATCCTCATTTATTAGATGGGGCAACTGTAACAAAGAGAAATGAAGTTAACTTGCTCACAGATGCCTCCACCTTGCTGTGGGGAGGAGGTGAAATCTGAACTCAGGCACTGTGGCTCCAGAGCCCGTGCTCTTGAATACTAGTTAAACCACCTCTGTCCCACCTGGATAAGGCCAGGCCCAAGTCAAGGGCCAAGATAAGGCTGCACTGTGCTAGAAGTCATATGTTTGGCTTAAGCAAACTAAAGCAGAGTACAAGGAGTTAGGATGACATCACAAAAGCCTGCCTCCCTTTCGTGAATCAGGGAGTTAAGGAACACTCATTGCCACAAGTACCCCTCGAGAAGGCCTCTGATGGTCAAGAGTCCTGCCTGACACTCACGTGTTTGACAGAACTGAAGTTTAATAATGAGCTCCCTGGTCTGCTATGTGTTTTGAAAACTGATAAAAGACAGGAGAGAGAGTGAGAAATAAACAGCAACTAACTGTTCTTGACCAAGCAACAGTGTTAGAACTGAAAGAGACCTAGAAGTAATTTAGTCTAGCCCAGAAAGCAGTGTTACTGACTACCAATTTCAAAGATTAGAGGTGTTTAAAGACCTTTAAATGGTAGCAGTAGCCCCCTTTCCATGGAAAGCCAAAATAAAATCCAATTTATTGATTAAACAGAGAAATTCTGCTAACATTCAGCCTAAACAATCTCTGTACAAACAGAATAGGCCTTTCATTTGGAAATACTTGAAGAACTACACAGATTTGTTGAAGGGATCTGAAAATCTTAAGAGAGGTACTAAGATATTGCTTATTTATTTTAAAAATGAGGAAGTTAAAAAGCTCAGATTTAAGTAACTTGTTTGTGGTCCCAGAGCTGGAAAGAGGAACTAGGAATCAAACCCAATTCTTCCATCCCTACATTTACCTCCCTGAGCTCTGTCGCTCCCTGTAGGAAGGATGGAGGGAGGGAGAGAAGTAGTATCGAGAAGTCAGTTCATTTAATCAGGGAACATGTGTCTCTCTGCTGTCCTCCAACATATGCTGAGAATCATCCCTGCCCTTCTAATCTTAGTACCAACCTGCCAGCAGGAGACCCAAACCTCCCTGGCTATGATCTGAAGAGTGCTCACACCTTAAAAGGCTCAGACACCTGAAAAAAAGTTTCTAGAGCATCTCCTTCTCATAATAATACTTTGGTTTGGGCGCCTTTGCTGTGTACGCCAATCCCTTGACTGGGGATGCGTTTCTCCTTTCTGCCAGCTGGTTTTCTTCTCTGTTAAGACTTCAGTCAATTTCCACCCTATTTTGCATGCAGCCAAATGTTTTCAGTGAGTATCTTACGTTTAAAATGTTGCCTCAGGTTAATGGGGAAAACGGTACACTGAAAATTAAACTCAACAATGTAAGCTGAAATTGGAGGCATATACAACAAAGGGTCATTACCATCAGCGCCTTTGTGTAAATATCCATTGGTGGGAGGCATAAGCTGCTGATGACTGCCTGCCTCGGAGTTACTGTAGCCTTCCTGGGGCTCCGACAGCGTTCCTTGGGAAGACAAGTAGCTGGGAATGTCTGCAGGCAGATTAAGCTCCTCTGTAAAAGAGACATCTATAACTCTCAAATAAAGTTAGGTGACTGAGGCCAACACTCAGAAGCCTATTGTGCAAATGTGTTCCACTCTGATACTCCTGGCCAGGAAAATACTATGTATCTAGGAACCCGACAGGTCTTAGAATTTCCCCCCAAACTATGTCTCACTAAAATTCTTTTCAGAGCTTCGTTTTAAGGGACGCCTCAGTGGCTCAGTCAGTTAAGTGTCCTACTCTTGATTTCGGCGCAGGTCATGATCTCATAGTTCGTGGGATCGAGCCCGTTGTTAAACTCTGCGCTGACAGTGCAGAGCCTGCTTGGGATTCTCTCTCTCCTCTCTCTGCCCCTCCCCCACTCATGTTCACTCTTTCTCTCAACATTAAAAAAGAAAGTATTACTACAAGAAGCAGAACTTGGAAGTCTGAAATCTTATCCACAGGCAAACTCTCATCATCTATCTGACTGAGCATCTTCTCTCTCGAGATTTCAGGGGAGGCATATGAAAGGCTGATCCCAGTTCTAAGAGCTCCACTCTTTCCCTAAAGGGAAGCTATGATGGGAATGAGACTGTAATCTGTTTATGAGAGCAAAGTTTTGGGGGAGTGTCTACAAATTCTTAAAATTATTAATCAGAGAGGTTCTATCATATGGAGGAAGTAGGACATTTTAAGAAAAAAAACTCTTCCTTCTACCACACGTAAAGTATCAAAGCTCCATAGCTTTCTATATTTTATGATAAATCCTCTATGATGTTCCTGACTCAAGTCCAAGTCATTGGTGTTAACTGGCACCACTCACCTGTGTTTGTGATACTATAGTCTTCGTTCTTCCTTCTCATGTGGTAAATAACAATGACCCAGATCAAAGAGGTGCCCACAACACAGCAGACCACAACAATGATGACAATGCCGATTGTGGTCCAGCCATCATCTTCATGCCCAATGCTACTCTGGGCAGAGTCACAATTGGGGGATGAAATGACACTGAGGTAAATGTGACCACGTTCTGTCCCAAGAGTGTTAGACATGATGCAAGTATACTTTCCAGCATCTTCCAGACCAGCATCTACAATAATAAGAAGCTGGTTGGCAGCAGCAAAGAAGTGCCGTTCTGTCACCAGCAGCGGCCCATCATCTTTGGTCCAGTTGAGGCGAGGGGCAGGACTTCCTCCCGCTATGCACTGTAGTACCGCAGTTTCACCTCGGGTTACTGTCTTGTCCTCCAGGGGTCTGATAAATGAGGGTGTCTCTAACAGAAAGATGTACAAAAGCGTTGTGTTAAACAATTTTATTTACTGATTCTTTTATTGAATTAGACAAATGAGGTGTTAATAAAATAAGTAAGGACTTTCATATGCTCGTAGAAGGACTGGAAGTTAGGGTTCCAGAAAAGCAAAAGCCTCAAAAATCTTATCTCCCTAATTCTACCTTAGGCAAGCTATCCTGAGCAAGGAAGCCAAAAACTTGTACACAAAGATGCTTATTATAAAATTGGTTGTAATTTTTTAAAATAAAGGAAAAAGATCTTTAAATCTAACAGGAAAATGAGTGAGTATAGTACAGCCACATGGTATTTTTTCAAGACTTAATGACAGAGTAATTCTTGTGACACAATATTTAAGAGGAAAGAAGTAGGCATATATAACTATGTGAAAATGCGCTTTAAAAAAAAGTTCAGAATATGCCAAAATCTTTAACAGTGTTTTGGTGACTCTCTCTAATCTTCAGTATATTCTAAATTTTTAAAACCAACAGACTTATTTTTCTGATTATATAAGTAAACAAACTTTAAAAATCTAACATCTAGGGGAATAGAGAACTAGAAAGCAGACTATGCCTTTGATTTGAGTCCCATGAAGAAAAGTATTCACCTAAGGGGGGAAAAAAAAAAAAGAAAAAAACCAGGCTTGTCAACAGAACTCTTAGGGAAAAGACATTTTACCAGAACATAGGAAGAAGAGGAACACAATGGAAGCAAAACAGGACATCTATGGGTCATTTCTGGCGCATTAAATTTTTTTAAAAAATGAACTAATAAGGGATACACTGTATGTTAGCTAACTTGACAATACATTATATTAAAAAATAATGAAATCATGGAAAAACAATTACATTGCCCTCAGTTCGCTGTGAAGCAGTATAAAACTGCCAACTCACTGCTGAACAGGAGAAAAAATATATATATGAAGTAGAAACCTTCCAGAGGGACAGGATAAAGGGATGTGAATTTTCAATTCATATGATAAAGGTCTTTAATTCTGCCCTGACTACTTTCACAGATTTCAGTTATCTGATCCTTTGGTATCCTAGGCTGACACGACCCTGTATGTATTGGCAAAACACAGTGACAGAGACATAAGGATCACAATTAAAATCTCAAAATTTTGACTTTTTTTTTCCATGAAGACCAGAACCCCTGTAAAAAAGGCTCCAGGTGAGCAGGGGCCCCAAGGGCGGCACACGTACCCAACACTGTGAGTGAGGCATTTGCCGAGAGGCCTCCGGCCCTGTTCTGAGCCATGCAGCTATAGATCCCCATGTCTTCTATCTTCACGTTGGCAATGAAGAAGACATCATCCTCAGGCATGACGTGCATGCGTCTTTCTCGAGCCGCGGGAAAGTCAGTGCCGCCATCTTTCTGCCAGGAAATCTGGGGTGCAGGGTGGCCCTCCGCAGCACACTCCAATCTGGCCATGGCACCAGTGCGAATGGTTAGATCCATCGGTGTCTTCAGGAAAGATGGCATCTCTGTTCTCAGAAAGATTACCAAAACAAAGCAGGTGGGTGGGTGGGAAAACACACACACATACTTACATGCATACATACATGCGAGAATGTGTTAGGCGAAATACCAACTGTTGTGAATACTCTATTTCTCTGAGAAGACATGCTCTCTGGAGTGACAGTAAATACCAGTTCAGAGGCCACCTCTTCTCCCAAAACCTTAGAACACCTGGAGCACAGTGATGACTAAATTCTTCCAGAGAGCTTGACACATCCACCTAATCTCTCTGATGGGGACAAGGCAGGCAGAAGGCCATTAACCTTTCTGAACTCTGTATTTTAGAACTCACTACTTGCTATACTTACTTAAGATACTAAATGGCGCTTTCCAAACTAACACCTACAAAGCAGTCATGGCAAATTCATGATAAAGTTTATGCTTTAAAAAAATCTCACAAAACAGGGGCGCCTGGGTGGCTTAGTCGGTTAAGCGTCCGACTTTCGCTTAGGTCATGATCTCGCGGTTCGTGGGTTCGAGCCCCGCGTCGGGCTCTGTGCTGACTGCCAGCTCAGAGCCCAGAGCCTATTTCAGAGTCTGTGTTTCCCTCTCTCTCTGACCCTCCCCTGCTCACGCTGTCTCTCTCTCTCTCTCTCTCTGCTAGAAATAAATAAAAAAAAAAAAAAAAAAAAAAAAATCTCACAAAACAACATAGAAGACACAAATACATTCTGAGGCGCCTGGGTGGCTCAGTCACTTAACCTGGGTGGTTAAGTCGTTTAATCCGACTTTGGCTCAGGTCATGATCTCATGGTTTGTGAGTTTGAGCGCTGTGTCAGGTTCTGTGCTGACAGCTCGGAGCCTGGAGCCTGCTTCGGATTCTGTGTCTCCCCTCAGTCTCTCTGCCCCTCTCCTGCCTGCATTTGGTCTCTCTCTCTTTCTCTCTCTCTTTCAAAAATAAACATTTAAAATTTTTTAAAAAATCTTTAGAAAAAAAAGACACAAATACATCTTTTGGTTGCATAAAACCCAAAATGTTTTAGTTATTCAATCTGGTGACAGAGTAAACTGTCTTTTTTTTTTTTTTTAACAACACAGTGAAAAAGTGCATTAATTTAAAAAAGGATTCTGTGTGACTACATTTAGACAATGATACTGTACCTAGAAATGCCCTAAATGCTCCCAATTATTAGAAAGCCATGTGAACAGTGTCAGGAATAAATTTCATAGTTTTAAGAACCAAATTATGGTTCTAGAAAGAACACAAAATTTCAAAACAATTTTTTCAAAAGCGTTAATAACAATAAATGTAGCCTATTCCCAGGGGCCATGGTATTCCCCTCTTATCCTCAACCAAAGAGCAATTAGGGACAGTAAGCAAGCAAAATGGTAATCTGGTCTATATATTACCACAACCCTAAAGAGGAAACAGTAAAATGTCCCCTTAAGTGTGAGGTTTAGCCTCATTTTCTTGGCTAAGTGGTCCAAAAACTGAACATCAGAAATCCATCTAACTATAAAACGATCAGGGAGCAAAATTCCTTACCATTCACAGTCAGTCTGGCTTTCAGAGAATAATTGGAACCAAAGTGATTAGTAACAATGCACTGGTATCTTCCCTCATCTGTGAAATTCACATTGAAAAGATGTAAGACACTCGTATGTTCCAGAGCTTCTCCGGCTTGCTGCCGATAACGCACAAAATTCTCAATGTCGATGTCATACAGGATCTCATTGTCTTTGCGCCACACAGTGGACATGGGCGAATCGCTGCTGCTCACTGCGGTGCACTTCAGAGTCACATTCGTGCCTCTGAGAGCAACTGTCGTCTCAGGATGCATTTTTATCTGTGGCTTGAGAAAATCATCTAAGAGAAAAAAAGGGGGCAGGGGTCAAGTCATTTATTTTTGCTTCCATGGATTTTGAAACAAATAACGTAAAATTGTGTGTGTTCTGTTTACAGAATGGCAGATTAAGACAGAGACTCCAGAGCTGGCATCCAATTCTTTAGTTTAAGGACAAGGAAACATGGCCCAGAAAGGCCAAACGACTTGTTCAGAGACATGTCCTGAAACAGAAACCAGGTTTTCAGACTTGAGGGTTTAGCGCCACTTTCTACTACCCTACAGTCACGTATGCTTACAACGTCCATCCTAAGTATTACCAGTTCCCGGGAAAAGGAAAAACCCATATTCAAATTTCAAGACAAATTCTAATCCTATTAGCTCTTGTGTATAAACAGAGGTTACATATAAAAATATGTATATAACAATATTCATTCTTTTCTGTGCCAATACAGAACATAGGGATTATGAATTTATTATATTTTATGGGGACTAACATATTATTTGAATGTACTTTGTATGTGCGTAACTCTCACCTAAAACAGTGAGAAATATCAAACGTTAAATGTCCAACTGAAGACTGGCTTAGGACTGGATAATATACTACAGATTCATAAATAACAGTATGTTATTAATATGTAAAAAAAAAAAAAAAAAGAGCATTTTGTGGGCCTGAACTTCTAAGTGTCCCTAGTCTCTTTAAAGTAGATTGTAAACACAGATCTGGCAATACGTGGGTATCTAAACGATCAGATACTAATGATATGCAAGACAAATACATTGATCTAAAAGTTCTGCTGCCAAGGCTAAGAATCAGTTATTCCACTTTAAAGGAAATCTAAATGTAAAGGAAAAATGTCCAAGCTTGAGAAAAGAATAATAGAGATACATACTTGAAATTACGAGTGTTAGAATTACGACAAATTTTTCATGACTGTCCACCTTTCCCCTCCACAAAATTCCAACACTTTAGTCTTTTTTTTCCCCCAACACTTTAGTCTTAAACTGCATCAAAAATAGAAACACAAACCTGATATATTCATACACTGTTAGTGACAACATTAACAAATGCGATCTTTCTGTAAAATACCTGGTAGCACCTTTAAAAATCTACTTTAAAAAAAAGTCATACTTTTTGATTCAGGAATCTTACTACTGGATATTTATTTCAAGGTTAACAACCCCCTAAAAGTGAAAGGCCTACATTCATAAAGATGATATTATATTGACATTAAAACTGATCGCTGAAGAACAGAGGAAAGAAACTACTTAGGATATATTAAGTCAAAGAACACAAAACTTAACCTATGATTAGCAACAATATAAAAATTTTAGAGAACACAGAGGAATGGAAATAGATATGCTACTGAAAAAGCATTCTGGTTTAAGGTTTTTTTTTTTACTTCTGTTGTTAAGATAGTGTGTACCATGCATCTTTTCTGACCACGCTATGAAACTAGAAATCAACCACAAGAAAAAATCTACAAAGAGTACAATACATGAGGGTTAAATAACATACCATTAAAACAAGGAATGGGGGGCACCTGGGTGGCTCAGTTGGTTGAGCATCCAACTCTAGATTTCAGCCCAGGTCATGATCCCAGGGTCATGGGATTGAGCCCCGTGTCAGGCTCTGCACTGGGCATGGAGCCTGCTAAGGAAACTTTCTCTCTCTCTCCTTTTTCCTCTCCCCCCTCTCCCCACTTGTGCTTTCTCTCTCTAAAGTCAGAACAAAGACAAACAAAACAAAAATAATGAATGTGTCAGGCCACGTGGCTAGCTCAGCCGCAGAGCATGCAACTCTTGGTTTCAGGATCGTTAAGTTCTAGCCCCACCTTGGGTATAGAGATTACTTAAAAATAAAGTCTTTATAGAGATAGACGAATGAATGAATGAATGAATGAACGAATGAACGAATGAATGAAGAAATCAAAAATTACATGAAAACAAATGAAAATGAAAACAAGAGTCCAAAATCTTTGGGATGTAGCACAAGTGGTTCTAAGAGGGAAGTTTAGAGCAATACAAGCCTACCTCAAGAAGCAAGAAAAATCTCAAATAAACAACCTAACCTTACATCTAAATGAGCTAGGAAAAGAAGAAAACCAAAATGTAGCAAAAAGAAGGAAATAATGCAGATTAGAGCAGAAATAAATGACATAGGAAATAAAATAACAGGGGCGCCTGGGTGGCTCAGTCAGTTAAGCGTCCAACTTCAGCTCAGGTCATGATCTCACAGTTCGTGGGTCTGAGCCCTGCGTCAGGCTCTGTGCTGACAGCTAGCTCAGAGCCTGGAGCCTGTTTCAGATTCTGTGTCTCCCTCTCTGACCCTCCCCTGCTCACTCGCTCTCTCTCTCTCTCTCAGAAATAAATAAAAAACATTAAAAAAAAAAAAAAAGAAACAAAAAAACAGTAGAACAGATCAATGAAACCAGGAGCTGGTTCTTTGAAAAGATCAATAAAATTGATAAACCCCTAGGCAAGACTCAGTAAGAAAAAGAGAACCCAAAAAAAATTAGTAATGAAACAGAAGAAATAACAACCAACACCAAGGAAATTACAAATAATTGTAAAAGAATATTATGAAAACCTGTATGCCAACAAACTGGACAACTGAGAAGAAACAGATCAATTTCTAGAAACATAATCTATCAAAACTAAAGCAGGAAGAAATACAAAATTTGGACAGACTAATTACTAGCAATGAAACTGAATCAATAATCAAAAAACTCCCCAAAAACAAAACTACAGGACGAGATGGCCTCACAGATGAATTCTACAGAACATTTAAAGAGGGAATTAATACCTATTCTTCTCAAACTATCCCAAAAAACACAAGAGGAAGGAAAACTTCCAAATTCATTCTACGAGGCCAATATCACCCTGATACCAAGTAAAGAAACCATAAAAAAAGAGAACTACAGGCCACTATCTCTCATGAATACAGATGTAAAAATCCTCAACAAAATATTAGCAAACCAAATCCAAGAATATATTTTAAAAAATCATACACCACAATCAAAAGGGATTTATTCCTGGGATGCAAGCCTGATTTAATATTCACAAAACAATCAATGTGATGCATCACATCAATAAGAGAAAGGAAAGCAATCATATGATCATTTCAATAGGTGCAGAAAAACCATTTGACAAAGCACAACATCTATTCATGATAAAAACCCTCTGTAAAGCAGGTTTAGAGGGAATATATCTCAACATTATAAAGGCCTACTATGAAAAACTCCCACTCGGCATCATACTCAATGGTGAAAAACTGAGAGCTTTTCCCCTAAGGTCAGAAACAAGACATGGACGTCAATTCTCACCACTTTTATTCAACATACTACTGGAAGTCCTAGCCACAGTAATCAGACAACATAGAGAAAGAAAACGCATCCAAATTGGTAAGGAAGAAGTAAAAGTTTCACTATTTACAGATGACGTGATATTACACATAGAAAACCCTAAAGACTTGACCAAAAACTACTAGAACTGATAAATGAATTCAGTAAGATTGCAGGATACAAAATCAATGTATCTGTTCCATTCCTATACACTAATAATGAAGCAGCAGAAAGTGAAATTAAGAAAACAAGCTCAGGGGCACCTGGGTGGCTCAGTCGGTTAAGCGTCCGACTTTGGCTCAGGTCATGACCTCACGGTTCGGTGGGTTTGAGCCTTGCGTCGGACCCTGTGCTGACAGCTCAGAGCCTGGAGCCTGCTTCAGATTCTGTATCTCCCGCTCTCTCTGACCCTCCCCTGCTCAAGCTGTCTCTCTCTCCCTCTCTCTCAGAAATAAAACATTAAAAAAATTTTTTTTTTAAAAACTCATTTATAATTATACCAAAAATAATAAAACATCTAGGAATAAACTTAACGAAATATGAAAGACCCATACTTTCAAAAGTGTAAAACACTGGTGAAAGAAATTCAAAGAAATGGAAAGATATTCCATGCTTATGGGTTGGAAAAAAAAAATATTGTTAAAATGTCTTTACTACCCAGGGGCGCCGGGGTGGCTCAGTTGGTTAAGCGTCCGACTTCAGCTCAGGTCATGATCTCACAGTTCGTGGGTTCGAGCCCCGCGTCAGGCTCTGTGCTGACAGCTAGCTCAGAGCCTGGAGCCTGTTTCAGATTCTGTGTCTCCCTTTCTCTCTGACACTCCCCTGCTTACACTGTCTCTCTTTCTCAGGAATAAATAAAATATTTTAAAAAATTTTTAGAAAATAATAAATAAAATAAAATGTCTATACTACCCAAAGCAATCTCCACACTTAATGCAACCAAAATATCAACAGTATTTTTCACAGAAATAGAACAAACAATCTTGAAATTTGGGGCTGCAAAAGACCTCAAGTAGCCAAAGCAATTTTAACAAAGAGAAATAAAACTGGAGGTATCACAACTTCAGATTTCAAGATACATTACAAAGTGGTAGTAACAACACGGTACATAAGAACAGACATACAGATCAATGGAATAGAACAGAAAACCTTGAAATAAACCCACAACTATATGGTCAATTAATCTTTGACAAAGGAGAAGTGAAAATACAATGGGAAAAAGACAGTCTCTTCAACCAATGGTGTTGGAAAAACTGGACAGTTACATACAAAAGAATAAAAGTGAACACTTTCTTACACCATATACAAACAAAACTCAAAATGGATTAAAGAGCTAAAATGTGAGACCTGAAACTATAAAAACCCTTGTAGAGAGCACAGGCAGTAACCTCTTTGACACTGGCCACAGCAGCATTTTTCTAGATATGTCTCCTGAGGCAAGGGAAACAAAAGCAAAAATAAACTACTGGGACTACATCAAAATAAAAAATCTTTGCAGAGCAAAGGAAACAATCGACAAAACTAAAAGGCCACCTACTGAATGGGAGAAGATATTTACAAATGACATAGCTGACAAAGGGTTAATATCCAAAATCAATAAATAACTGATATAAGGGAGTACTCCCAAAACAAATAATCCAATTAAAAAATGGGCAGAAGACATCAACAGACATTTCTCCAAAGACACACAGATGGCCAACACACACATGAAACAGCACTCATCATCAGGTAAATGCAAACCAAAACCATAATGAGATATCATCCCTACACATGTCAGAATGGCTAAAATAAAAAACACAAGAAACAACAAATATTGGCGAGGGTGTGGGAATTACACTGTGGCACTGCTGGTGGGAGTGCAAACTGGTGCAGCCACTATGGAAGACAGTGTGGAGACTCCTCAAAATATTAAAAACAGAACTGCCCTCCGACCCAGGAACCACACTACTAGGTATCTACCCAAAGTATACGAAAACACTAATGAAAGGGATACATGCACCCCTATGTTTACTGCAGCATTATTTACAATAGCCAAATTAGGAAAGTAGCACAAGTGTCCATTTATAGATGAAAGAATAAAAAAGATGTGATATATACATACAATGGAATATTATTCAACCATGAAAATGAAATCTTGCCATCTGTAATGACATGGATGGAGCTAGAGAGTATAATGCTAAGTGAAGTAAGTCAGAGAAAGACTATTACCATATGATTTACTCATATGTGGAATTTAAGAAACACAAGTGAGGAAAATTAAAAAAAAAAAAAGAGAGAGAGAGAAACCAAGAAAGAGACTCAGCTACAGAGAACAAACTGATGGCTACCAGAGGGGAAGGGAGTTGGGGGGATAGGGGAACTGGGAAATGGGGATTAAAGAACACACTTATCATGATGAAAATATAACAACAATAAAATAAAATGGTAAAAAATAAATAAATAAAAGACAGTGAGTGTGTAGTATACAAAATTTTAAAACCAAATACAAACCACAGACAAAATCTTTCAGATCCACATGCAGGATGCTCTGCCCTGCTAGCCACTCAGGGTGTGCACAGCTTACGTTCACAGAATGCTGCAAGTTATTGTCAACCAGCCACTGAAGCAACCACTTCAAATGGCAGTCACAGAGTAGGCTGCTCGTGTTCAGAATCCTACAGAAACAAAGAGGGAAAAAGTACCCATTACTTTTCATTCTCAGTTTCTTGACCACTTAGAGCTTACTGCATACCTGTCCATTTTCCTCGCCACGAAACATTTAACCTGAATTGAACCACAAGAAAAATTCAGACCGTCAGCCTCAATGCCTCAAATATGTGGGTGTCATGAAACACATTAAGAAAAAGGGCAAAACAGGGGAAAAGGGCCTATGTTAGATGAAAGGAGTCTAAAAGTCATTACAACCAAATATGATACATGATTCTTGACTGGAAAAAATCTCTGCAAGAACACTTCTTGACACTGGGGAAATCGGAGTATGGACTGTATGTCAGTTACTATTACTTTAATCAATGTTAATTTCACTGACGGAGATAATAGTGCTGTGGCTATATACAGGAAAACACCCTTGTTCTTGGGAAATACATGCTGAGATATTTAGGGGTAAATTATAATATCTGCAACTTACTACCAAATGGCTAAGCAAAATAATAGTGTATGTAAAGAGAAGAGAGAAGGTTAGAAAGAGACGGGGAGGGAGAGAGAGAAGGGAGGCGGTAGGGAGAGAAATAGATCACAAAAAGTTAACAGGTGGTAAAAAGGGTACATGGCTGTCAAATGCACCTTCCTTTCAATTTCTGAAGTTTAAACTTTTTCCCAGAAAAGTTTACTGTATGTATTGGAGCACAGAGTGTGTCTGTTGTAGAGAGGACAGAATTCTTTTCAAATTATTTCATCAAGACTGAAAACACTTCACCCTGTGACAATGTGTACTGCAACTCAAACTAAGAAAGAGGCAGTGAAATTTTATCTGTTGTCTATATTAGGCCTATAAAACACATATGAAAAGCCAGATAGCTTTTCTCTTAAAGACCCATGAATGTCCATCACTTGGAAGCAGTGAGAGCAAATGATTCTGAGGACACTCTAACTTGCTTTATGTGCATCACCAAGGTCCTCATCTAGTTTAAAGTTTCTAAGATTTGATTCCAAAGAAGTTTCAAACAGTCTTCAATGGTATCTCAAAAGCCTTATTTGACTAAGGATAATTTTACTTAATCAGGCCAAATGTTACCTTTCACATGCAATAGGATTCTTAGGTTACATTCATGCACTGACAGAAATACTTGAGTCTACTGCACGTGAGGTACTGCTCTGGGCTATGGGGATACAGGCCCCACGGAACTTGTGTTATTTATTAGCGCCAAGCAATAAACAAATTAAGGCAAAGTACAATGTCAGAAAGTAAGTGCTAGCAAGAGAAACAAAGTAAGGCAAAGATACAGAGACGCCAGCTACCAGTTTAGATAAAGTCATCAGGGAAAGATTCTTTGATGAGAGGGCATTTGACCAAAGACTGGAAAGGAACAAGAGAGCAAATCACACGAAGACCTAAGATTAAGAGTGTCGCAGATACAGGAAGCGGTGTGCAAAGGGGCTTTGGGGCAGCATGCCTAGTGTGTAGAGCACAGTGAGAGAGGGGACAGTCACAGGAACACAGTCAGAGAGCTGGGCAGGGGGGACCAGGCCATGCAGGTGCTTTACCAACTAAGAAAAGAACCTCAGGTGTTTACTCCCTGTATGTGATGGGAAGCCAATGGAAGGTTAAGAATAGAGAAGTCAGATGGTCTGATTTATGCTTTCTTAGGTATAAGCTGGACCCGTGTGACCTGGACTCAATCCTAATTCTGCTACTTACCTTAGGCAAAATACTTAATGTCTCCAAAATCTCAGTTTCTATTTCTGGAAAATGGGTTTGAGAATGCCTACCTCAAAAAAAAATTTAAATACAGCATTTAGCAGAGCGCTTGGACACAGATACCACTGAATTCACAATCCTTCCCTTTACTTCTGTTTCTTTTGCATCTTTCCACCCTCACACACTAACCAACCTGCCCCCAAGTACCTAATGGAGTACCCTGCTTTCTCTCAGAAAGTGCTGTCAACAGATACACACCGAAATATTAACAGTGGTTGTGTCTAAGTAGTGGGCGTCTATCTGGGGACTTGGCTCTCCTTCTTTCTAATGTTTCTACCACGATTTTAAAAGTTTAATGCAAAATATTTTTAATTTACACACAACTCTCCCATTTCCACCTAATATTTATGCAAAGCACTGTGAAGGATACCAGAAAGCATAAAGATAGTATTTTAATAAATGTTGATGTAACAGTATTATAAATATGACTTAGATTTAAATCAACAGAAAGCAACCAAAACTAGTCTCCTCCACTCGCAGTTTGTTCAGACCAATTCTCAAATTACCAAATGACTGAAGAATAAAAACTACACTATTTGCTCTCACCTACTCTCTAAATTACATTTTACACTGAGTTCTCATGACAAGAGTTAAAACTTCATTGGTGGCCCTCAGATTCTCAAGGACAAAAAGTTGGTAACACTAATATATGTACTATGTTGTACCCTTAAAAATGAAGCCTAGGAGAAATATCTCAAAATATCTCAACAGACACTGCCCCCTCAAAAAAAAAGCCACTTGAAAGTCTCACAGAAAATAACTAATGATGATTTCCATAACATTTTTATTTTTATTATTATTATTCAACTTTTACTGTGTGTCAGGCTCTGTACTGAACATCATCTCAAAACCCTCCAAAGTTTCCTAATATATTTATAGGGAAAAAAAAATCCAAACTCCTCATGACTCATTGACCCTCCTAATTGATCTGTTTCCTGCTTAACTCTCTGACCTCATCTCCTAAGCACTCTTCCTCTTGCTCTCTTCCAGCCACACTGGTGTCTTTGCTGTTCTTCAGGCATAAGAAACAAGTTCCTACCACAGGACTTTTTCACTTGCTGTTCTCTATGCAAAATGCTGTTCAACCAGTATTCAATGCTATGCCACTCACTAACTCAAATTCTGTATCTTCAAAAAAGCCTTCCATTACTACTTTATCTAAATAAAAATCCCAGGGATACCTGGGTACCTCAGTCGGCTGAACGTTTGACCTCAGCTCAGGTCATGATTTCGTGGTTCAGGAGTTTGAGCCCCACATCGGGCTTGCCACTGTCAGCACAGAGACCACTTTGGATTCTGTCCCCTGCTTGCACTCTCTCAAAAATAAACATTTTAAGGGGCGCCTGGGTGGCTTAGTTGGTTAAGCGTCTCACTTTCGCTTAGGTCATGATCTCGCGGTTCGTGGGTTCGAGCCCCGCGTCGGGCTCTGTGCTGACTTCCAGCTCAGAGCCTGGAGCCTATTTCAGAGTCTGTGTCTCCCTCTCTCTCTGACCCTCCCCTGATCACGCTGTCTCTCTCTCTCTCCTAGAAATAAATAAAAATCTTAAAAAAAAATTTTTTTTTAAATAAATAAATAAAATAGCAATCCCTGTCACTCTCCATACCTTTGACCCGCCTTTATTTCCCTTCAGAACTCTTATTACTTGGTGAGAGGTATTCTGTATATACTGATTTATTCAGAGACTTTGTCTTGTTCACTACTGTGTTTTTACCATCTAGAACAGTACCTTACATAGCAGATGACAATAAATATTTCTTGAATGAACAAATTATCTCATTTTATTCTCACGTAACTCTAAGGGAGGTACAATGCCATTCTCAAAAGGGAAATGGAGTTTTAGGCTAAACTTTCCCAATGTCACATAGCTGTAAAGAATGGGGCAGAAATCTGAAAGTCTAGGTAGTTTAAACTCACACACTTCCAGTGCATCTCAAACTATCTGTGATGAAGAACCAGTTTTTAAAATTTCCAACCCCTTGTAGATTTATACTTCCATAAAATTCAACAAAAGTATCAGAGTAACGTCAATTTGGTCTTAAAGTTTCTAAATTTTTATGAACTTCTATCCTTATTTCATCATGTATCAGTTTGGGACCACAGTCCTTCTTCCAAGTAGCTCTCAAGCAAGGCCAGATACATAGCTTTAGTCTACTGATTCTTAATGCTGGCTGGATATTCAAATCATCCAAGGCTAAAATGAATACCAATGCCCAACTAACCACCCCTCCCCCTGGAAATCTCTAAACCATCATTTTTTAAAAAACCATGAATGAAAAAGGGTATAAAATAATACATGTTTTTCCACTACAACTATTTAACAGTGCTTGACCATTTTAGTGGCTTGAACAACCGTATGAGAGATACCCCTCTGACCATTATACTGAAAGTGCTAGATTATATGCCACAAATTACCTAATATCTGAACTGTGATCCACCCTAAGGGCACTGGGAACACATTTTTCCAATAATCCAAAAATAAACGAGGGGTCGGGGAAGGGGAAGAGTATAAGGAACAGGAAGATCTACATCAAGCACAAAGCAGAGCTCAGGCCTCTGTAGCTGTGAGCATTAGCAGCACAGGTAACACAGAAGGCCTTGGTGCCACAACTTTGGGCTTTTCAATCTTAGGTTATTTAAAAATTATATCCAGCCACTACAGTAACTGAATATTGACACTTTCTCTTTTTTTCCCCACGTGAGTCATGTGCTTTTGGAAACACATGGGTCATATTCACCACCTTTAGGAACAAGCATGGGTAACGATATAATGATTGGTGACAGAAAGACTGAAGTTACGTACAGTTCTTTCAAGCGAGTCTGAGAAAAAGCATCTTCTTGGATAGACATTATAGCATTGTTGTTCAAATCTCTGAAATGAAGAGAAATGAAACATTACCGGTCATCATTTCTATAATTAAGTTATAAAAACACTTTAAATGGTCATGAGAACCTCTGCTAATAGCAAAGATTATTTATATACTGAGCAAAATGGATGCAAAATACTTACAGATGCTCGAGGGATTCAAGACCAATGAATGCTTTCTTTGTAATTGACTTAATTTGATTTCCTTGTAAGATTCTGAAATACAAACAGAACCGTCTAATAAAGCCTCCACTAAGCAAAATTTAATTCATTAATGCATACATTTACCTATAAAAAGTGAAAATAAATTCAACATACATTTTTAAGAAAGTTGTGAATCTTTATTACCAAGCAATGCAAAACAGAGAATGAAGGCTTCTATTAATAGGTTGGAGTTCAACGAGGTGCCTGTGAACAGCCATCTGGGACCACTGATGGACGGCTAGTTTTCATATGAGAAACTGGATTATAGTCCCAGTTTCTCCCTTCTTAGCAAAAGATTAGGTCAAAGAAATTAAGACAAGTGTAAGGCCTCGGAGAAATTCTCAGGAGAAGATCTAAAATTTTACTTGAGAGAATGCCTTTCTTGCTAGATAAATTACCCATAAATCTCTTACGATTAAGAATACGGGGGCAGCCTGGGTGGCTCAGTTGGTTAAGCATCCAACTTCTGCTCAGGTCATGACCTCATGGTTCATGAGTTTAAGCCCTGCATCAGGCTCACTGCTGTCAGCACAGAGCCTGCTTCAGATCCTCTGTCTCCCTCTCTGTGCTCCTCCCTCCCTCCCTCTCTCTTTCAAAAATAAATAAATATTAAAAAAAAACAAAAGAATAATACTGGTTCAACTCTGGAACAGCAATTCTATTTCCACGAATAACTTCTCTTTGAACGCCCAGAAGAAAGCTCTTTCAGTAGAAAATGTCCCACCAAGCGACGCCTGGGTGGCTCAGTCAGTTGAGTGTCCAACTCTTGATTCTGACTCAGGTCATGATCTCACAGTTCGTAGGTTTAAGCCCTGCACTGGGCTCTGTGCTGATAGTGTGGGAGACTGCCTGGGATCCTTTCTCTCCCGCTCTCTGTGCCCTTTCCCAGCTCACACGTGCATGTGCACGCTCTCTCTGAATAAACTTAAAAAAAAAAGTGTCCCACCACTAAATAAATAAATAAAATCTAAAACCACCAATAAACAGAAAACTTCATAAACAACAAACCTTCATCCTTTAGTGGATAAATCAAAAGGCTGACTTTCTAGCCATAGCAAAAAGACATAATCCAATTACATATACAACTGGTTCTTAAAAAAACACCTTTGTAGACATACATAAATATTATAAATACATACAATTTAGTGAGACTTGTGAGTCCAGCAAAGGCTTCACTGGCATCTTCGATGGCCCATGAAATTTCATTGTTTCTTAAGTTTCTACAAAAATGTTAGGGAAGACAGGTTATGTTCGTTAACATGACCATTATAGCACAGGCATCATCCCGGCGTGCCGATGCTGATTTTCTTCCTTATTTTAACAGTTATTTTTGACGAAGACTCGACTCTGGTTTTTAAAGAATATCTGCAATAAGCAAGCAAGAACTGATTCTCATAAGCAAAGAATTAAGCTGGCCTTGATAAATAAATTAAGCAACCTGTTAAGAGTATTAATCTTCCTCACTAATAGCACCTAATTGTGTTAGTATATTAAAAATTATAGTCAGGGTCCTGCAAAAAAGCAGGAGGATGTCAAGCTGCAGGGGATATGGCTTACAAATGTGATTTTAGACTAATGGGATTTCTGGGTGACCCAAGCCTTCCCGTGGGCCCTTAAGCCTAAAATGGCTAACAAAGAATTATGTCAGTACAGAGCTTCACAGCTCGACAGCAATTAAACACGGCCCTTGGGAAGCAACACTGATACACCCGTGTGCTGGAGTGATCACTCTGTTATTTTTAAAAGGAAAAGTATGGATCTTTTAAAATCCACTATTGTGTTCTCAGAGGAAATGCACTTGTACCACACAGTGCCCAGCTGGAAGAAGTACTAGTTGTAGATATTTAATAACTGTTGCTTCTTAAAGTCATCTCATAATAAAACACAAAGCTCTTTCCTCTGTAAGACATTTAAAGTTGTGCCAGTAACAGGAGATAGATCACGCTTCCTATTTAGCTGTATCTTTACTTGAAGTGAAAGCTAACAGGTTTATTTTATTTTACTAAGCAATAAACACTGAAACAACCAATAGCTCAACTCTCCAAGACTTTCCTCCAGAGCACGGCATAAACAGAACTCACTGGCCAAGTGAGGAAGAACTCTGGCAGGAGTATTGATTCAAAACCAAAACTGCTCAGATCTTATTCTAATTCTGTCTTAACTGTCTCTGTGGCATTAGACATAATTTACTTCTGCAATTACTCTCCTAAATTTTAATATTAGAAGTAATAATCTGAGGTACGGAAAGAACCTGAGTGCCATTCTTTGCAATGCAAAAAGGCTGCAGCTGCATCTAAATTCCTGGGTTTAAGCTGCTCTAGGTTCACCTCTAATAATGTGGAAAAAAGAAAAAAAAATCACTTTTAACTTTCCAGGGCCAAATCTGAAGGAAAATGACCTCATTAATTAAAAAGAAAAAAATCAAACTCGTGCAGGTATACACACTTGCTTGTGTAAAAGTATCATGCTTGCTTTCTCACTGATGGCTAGGTCCCAAAGTTGGGAGCTTGCCTCTTTTCTAAGATCATTTATCAACTCTGAATCTGATAACCAAAAGGTTCCCTATTCAGGAACTTGAGAATCTACAAATTCTACTGTAATTAGCCTTTTTCCTCTTATTCTGCTCTATGTTTGAAATCACTATATTTTGTTAAAATACTTCTTTGTTCAATTATAGTTCACGACACGGTAAAACATCCAACTTACAGAAACCCAGGATTTCAGCGCTGAAATTGCCTATAGCAATCATTTACTCCTATGCCCATCCTCCACTGGATGAAGACAAAAAGAAAATGACACCCAGGGAAGGTTAAGTGATTTTGTGCATCAGGCAGTATGGTAAAAAGCCAGTGTCAAGCAGACCTGGCTCACCTACAAGCTGTGTGACTTCACCCTGAATGCACCCGATTCTGTCTGCTTTCTGAAACTAAGCAGGGCCAGGCCTGGTTAGTACTTGGATGAAAGACCACCTGGGAATACAAGTTGTGTAACTTTAAGCAAATCATTTTAACCTCTCTGAACCTCAGCCTCCGAACAGGGAAAAGAGCAATTAATATCCTATTATTCTGAAAGCACCTAGCACGCCTCAGATCACTGATATATTTTTGTCCAAAGGCACGCAGCAAATTAGCAACAATGAACAGGGCTCCTTCCATAGCTACTCCCACTACACAGCCTGCATCCTTCTGAATGAGTAGCAGTTCTGAAGGTAGTTCAAGATCAGAGGAGCAAGAAAATGTGCATTTTTGACCAACAACTGCATTTTATTCCATAGTAACTGGCACAGTAAGAGATGCTCTGTTGTTCAGTTGGTTAAATTCGAAATTAAAGTACAAACTGAACTGACCAGATATAAATAAGATTTATGTGTGAGGACAGAGACAAGTAAGACTGCCTCCCCCTAAGTCTAAGACAGAAGAACTGCAAAATATTAACATTAACATAAATGTGCCGCTTATGACTGGTTGTTTTAATCTGCTTTACTGTTTTACTTACAGCGTCTGAAGATTGGAAAGAAACCTAAATACACCATCAGCAATGTGAGTGACTCTGTTGTCCGCTAAATTCAGTCTCTCCAGTAAGCTCAGACCCACAAAGGCAGATTCATCCAGGCGGGTCAACTGGTTGTAGGACAAATCACTAAAAATAGGAAATGTGGAAGGGAAGGAATTCATTGTATTTTAATTCAATGTTCCTCTTCTCATTCTACTTACATGATAAATTTAGAGCTTTCAACAAACTTCTAATAGAGCAGATTGCTTCATCTCATTGTTGGCCATGGGACTGACTTATTCCAACCTACTCTAGCCCCACAGCCTCCCACAAGAGGCCCTCTGACACTCACAGTTCCGACAGTCTTTGGCAGAACTCCCATGCATCCGGACTGATTCTTTCAACAGCATTTTGGCTCACGTAGAGCTGCTGTAACATTCGCAGGCCGTACAACCACCCCTTGTTCACTTCTGTGAGGTTATTATGCTCTAGTTCTCTGCAAAATTAAAGAAGGAGAAAATATGTTTCAGAACAAGGCACTGCAATGAGAAAATTCCAGAACTCTTCATTAAGTATTGCTCAGTGAGGCCTCTAACTTTGCTAAAGCCAAGTGAGCCAACAAATTCTATTCAATAAATATTTATATTTTGCTTAAGGTTTATTGCTAGAACATAGTAAGACTGTCTAAAATATCAGATCTATAAAATTAACACACTAGGGGGTTTGATATACCTGTTCGAGGTAAATTCTGGTAATTTTCATCGGCCCAAACATTAAGAAAATAAAAACTTCTTAGACAAAATGTTTATAAGAATGACCAAAAGCTTAAAGAGATTTGTGTATACTTATTCACATCAGAGAAGGGAGAAAGAACTAATGTACTGGGGTGTAACTAAAGCAAAGATCTTAGACCTTTGGCACTGAAAAGTCCCAATCAGACTCCTTTCTTAATGAGATCCTATTCCAGTTCATAGTACTTACAATTCCTCCATGTTCTCCAAGCCAAAAAAAGCTCCATCCTTAAGTTTGCTAATACCGTTTCGCTGCATCTTCAAAGACCTTAAGGAGTCAAGCCCTTGGAATGTCAGACCTTCTATCACTTTAATCCTGTTTCTTTTAAGTTCCCTTTAATAAAAATAGTTTTACAGTTAGAACTTTGGTCTGCTGATTTGCTCTAATAATAATTAAAATAATTTAAATGAAAGGACAACGTTCTTAAAACCCAGCCACTTAGTGACTCACAAGAGCTGGAGGTGAGGTAGCTTGAAGATCTTGGGTGGAATCATGCTGATTCTGTTCCTGTTTAACTTTACCACTAGTAAAGAACTAGATAAATTATCGAAGCAACCAGCCTCCAAGACAGTTATCCTATTATTACTCAAATTCCTAAAATAAACAAGAGAACAAAAAAATTGAGTGCAACAGAACATTCTACCACCCAACAGCTACCCGTAGTCTATGACTGAGCCCCAGCCCTACCACTTAGCAACAAGACACAACTTTACAGATGATTTAACTGCTTTGTTTCTGCAAGTACAAGATAAGGAGAATATCAACTTCATTTAGGTTCAAACAGTATGTATGAATATACTTTGTAAAGTGTGAAAGACTATCACACATCTTAATTATCACTGTATAGGATAAGCCACTGTTTAACAAACCACTCCTATTTACCTTTCATAAAACTGTTAGTAAAACACAATCCAGAATTAAATCTCAAAAATTAACCTGCATACTTAATATTTTCTGATAAGAGGAGAGAAATAACAGCCCCCAAAACTGACCCTAGGTTTGTTTCACATAAGAATATCAAAATCACAATAAATACAAAGGTTAAGTATCACTACATAAACATGCATTTGAAAATAAATCTACTTACAGATATTTAAGTTGCATTCGAGGAAATGAAGACGTCTTGATTTCTGATATTATATTTGAACTGAGATCTAAATTCTCGAGAGCAGGGTAAAACTGAAACGCCTCTGCATTTATTTCTGAGATTACATTATGGACTCTATTTAAAAAAAAAAAAAAGGCTATAATGAAGCAACTACCAGAGACCCAGCCAAGACCACAGGATGTTAAATAATCAGGATTGACAAAAAGTGTACCTGAAACAAACATTTTAAAACTGTATTATTCATAATTTAAAAGATCTGAAATCGTATTTACTTACAATGAGAGTTGAGTAATATTAGAGGTTGGTTCTCCAAAATACGGGATTTCTGTCAGCTCATTATAATTCATTTTCCTAGGCAAGGGGGAAGAACAGAGTTAACATTAAAAAATGTTGCCTCTTGAGCTCTGGTTTCTGGCTAAAAATTATTCTTTAGGATAGGTGCCAAATTTAAAAAGGCCTATGACTCAGAATGAGATAGACTAAATACATTATGCTGCGAAATTAAAGATTTTAACAAGAAATGCTTTTTCATGGTGTAGATCGATGATTGATATCAATATTTTGTACACGAAGTATTTTTAATCCCAACAACGTTCTTGAATAATTACATTTCTGACAGCTAATTTCAGTCCTTCTTAAAGAAGAAATCATTAACCCATCCATATCTCTTTATACACCTACTTAAAAAATAAAAAACTACAATTAAGTAAATTTTTAAAATACACACACGTTTAAATTACTCAAAATTAGAGAGGGTTGCTTGGGACCATAGATGAATCTGCCCACTGAGAGATGGAGCCTATGATGAATTCTACAGACGACATGACATGGCACAATCTGATCCAAGGAGCTCTTTAAACATATGGTCTCCAATGTTTTAGTGCAAATCTAATATAGTTGTGTTACATCAACTTGGTTTTTCAGTCACTGAAACCTCAATAATGTAGAATACAGAAACGAAACCAGAAATAAAAGGCCTCCAACAAACAAGCTGAAATAAAGCCCATGCATTTTGCACTGAAGCACTTTCAGGGTTTTCTTTCTTTCTTTATTTTTTTTTTAATTTTTTAAATATTTACTCTTTTTTGAGAGAGAGAGAGAGAGAGAGAGAGAACAAGTGGGGGATGGGCAGAGAGAGGGAGACACAGAATCTGAAGCAGGCTCCAGGGTCTGAGCTGTCAGCACAGAGCCCGACGCGTGGCTCGAACCCACCAGCGGTGAGATCATGACCTGAGCCAAAGTCAGACACTTAACCGACTGAGCCACCCAGGCGCCCCAGGACTTTCTTCAGGGCCTACTCTTTCAGCTCATAAGCTTGTCAGTTGTGTATTCAGGGCACAGCCGATCAGAACCAGTCAACGTGTGGTGGGGGGGAAGGAGAGAATGCAAGAACAATGAGAACATGAACAAGTTATCTGTGTCCGAAAGAAATTCAAATGGAAAATAAATCTGAAGGTTCTCGTGTCTTAGTGTAGAGGCAAACAGGCCTCGACAGCTGTGCCTCTGGAAACATCACAACGCAAAAACTGATATTAATATCATTTTAGAAAATTCCCTCCAAAAAAATACATAATGATACATCTCAGTATTAAGGGAAAAATTCAGTGAAGTGGAAAATTAAACTATATTAACCATATTACAGACAACACAACAAATACTGTATTTCACATAACTCTACTTTAGATAGGTCTCCATCTTAGACAAGTCAAGACATAAAAAAGTTTACACAATAGAGTTTCACTGGCTCAAATTGGCAAAAACAAGCAAAACATATTTACTTTGAAGAGGAACAAAAATCTTACTTTTGGTCCCAAGAAAGTAGATAGAATAATATTTCTACACAGTTTGCTATCAATCACCAAACCTCCAGCAAAATGCCCAGAGTCTGGAATAGTGGCAAAGCCAAAGACCATAGTTTCAGTTTTTAAACCATGTCTTTTAACTTAAATTCTTTCCCTCAATTTTTTGACAGCATTTCTGGATTGGACACCCTCAAACACATAATTCACCATCAAATCTAACAGTTTAATATAAAGTTTAACAAGTGAAAATAACTTACACTTCCTGTAATGTCTGAGACTCCAGGCTGATATTCCAGTTGGACAACCGATTATGACTCAAATCCCTAATGGAGGACAAAAGATCATTCTTAGTTCAGTGTCGGAAAACAGACTTCAAGAAAAAAAATATCTAAAAGCCCTATTAAATGTGAATTTGGGTAGTACACAAAAAAGAAAAAATGTTTCTAAGGGATACGTAAATATCTAGATTTCAAAATAGTTATTTTACTTTTTCTTCACTTTTATGAGGTCTTTTAAAATTTTACTTTTTAAATTTTATTTATTTTTGAGAGAGAGAGAGAGCGCGCGCGAGCAACTGGGGGAGGGGCAGACAGAGAGGGAGACACACAATCTGAAGCAGGCTCCAGGCTCTGAGCTGTCAGCACAGAGCCTGACGTGGGGCTTGAACACACAAACCATGAGATCATGACCTGAGCCAACATCGGACGCCCAACTGTCATTTTTATAAGTTTTTTTAATAACTAACTAGGAAGTACATTCACCATGGTTCAATAATTAAAAAGCATAAAAGGAAATACAATAAGTCTCCCACTCTGTCATCACCCATACAATTTTCCTCCCCAACAGCAACAAATGAAAATATGCCATTTCTTGTGCAGCCCATCAGATAAGCTATGCATGTAGCAAATTTTTACAAAACTGGTGGAATAATTTACACACTAGTTTGCCCTTACTTTTTTCACTTAACAATGTAGCTTAGAGATCATTCCACAGCAGTATTATAGGGTCTCTTCATCCCTTTTAGTAATTATCTTCTACTTTATTATAATGGACTAAATATATTTTTGAAAGAAAAAATAGACTTTCTTAAAGTAACATAATATGAATATGTTAACTATAACATACTACATTATACTATAGGTGTAGATAAAAGAAGATCGATTTTACAAGTCAAGATAGTGAGCTTCTATATGAGACGTGAGTTGGTCATATCCTTGATAGAGATAGTCTTCCTTTAAAAAAAAAAAAAAAGCAATCTAGCTTCAGGAAGAAAAATTCATTCTCTAAATTATGTTGATGATGATGACTGTTTAGTGGTGGTGGTGGCAAACATTTATTAAGTGGTGGCACTTTCTTATATGTTTTATACATATGAACTGCCTAAAACACTACACAACCACCTTATGAGGCAAATGCTTTTACAGTCTTCATTTGCCTTAGACAGAAACAGGCAGATAAATAATTTGTCAATCCAAGGTCATACAACTCATCAGTGAGGAAACCATAAACTTGAAATTCCATCTCACTTCTAGCACGTGGTTTGTTAGATATAGCAGAGATTTCACTGAAATTAGTCAGGAGTCCAAATATTTAAATAGGCTTTAAAAATTCACCTTGAGGCTTCCTGGCATCTTGACAGGGCTGAAGTGGAATCCAGCCCACTCAAGCTGTCTGCCCAAGAGATGTATTATACATTTCAATATGGCTAGCGATGGGGACACACTACAGAAACATTACAGATCACTTTGTCTCACTTTATCTCACAGCTGCACGCAGGTTTGCACGATGTCTCTATCACAACAGAACAATTTGTTTGCGGCCAGATCCGCGACTGTCCATCTGTAAAATTTAGCCACTGTCATTCAGGAGCCTGATTTACAGGTAACGTAACTAAGCCTAGAAGAAACCATCACTTTGCCACAACAGTTCTAAACCCTTTATTCCAAGGTATCTGGCACCAGATATCAGTTGAAGGTTACTCATGAGGAGAGGTGTGTGCTGGGAAACGTGAGATAAAAATGGGAATTCGCTCCACATAAAAATCTTATATTCAGACACTTTCATCCAATTCACACTTGCTACTGAACAACAAACACTGAGTTTTGTACAAAAGATATCTACTGTGGCATTTCAATTAAGAAGAAATTCAGCTCTTCTAATTTAAGTTAGTCCACTCTCTGCCCCAACATGGTTGGTCTGGCAAGTAGAGAGCCAGTATCTTCTGGGTAGCAGGCAGGCACAGTACAATTTAGTTCCAGATCTCATGCTGGCTGAAATTGAATTTCTTCCCTTTCAGAGATTAAGAGCTTTCGTTTTAATCATACCAGTGCTTCCAATGCCTTCCCAACCCCTAATCTCCCTGGCAATGTAACTCTTGACTGTGCTCATCCCTGCAGCTGGCTCATGGATGTCAATGACCACCAGATAAGCACTTTTAAAGGAAACCATTATTTAAAAAATTTAAAGCAACCAAGTTAGCCCTACTTACACATGGTATAAACTACTTTCTATTAGGTATCAGTGAAAACTGTCCAGTGTCTCTAATGGGGAAAAGATTAACTTTCTCTATCTCTTTGAAGAACCTCTAAAGGCTTTTTAAAATTTTTTAACATTTTTGAGAGAGAGAGAGTACACGAGTGGGGGAGGGACAGAGAGAGAGGGAGACACAGAATCCGAAGCAGACTCCAGGCTCTGAGATGTCAGCACAGAGCCTGATGTGGGGCTCCAACCTACAAACCATGAGATCGTGACCTGAGACAAAGTCGATCACTCAACCGACTGAACCACCCAGGCGCACCAACTTCTAATGGCATTTCGATGGACTCCAAAAGATACCTGAGATATTCTGGAGCCTCCCTAGAGGATAATGCTGTCTTAAGAAAATACATCTCAGACGCCGCATGTGCAATTGCGGGGTGTTCACTAGGGGGGTCGCCTTACAGATTGGGCCCGTGAAAGGGTCAACATGCCCTTCTTTGGCTAGAGATTTACAATATGGGCCCTCAAAGGAGGAAAAGAAAAAGAAGGAAGAAACAGCTGGTTCAAAGCCCAAATTCCTATTTTATGGATGTCTGACCCACACTCAGACGGTGGTTCTCTGTGTAGCCTGTTCAACCGTGTTGTGCCAGCAAAGAGGAGGAAAGGCCAGACTCACATAGGGTGTTCATTTAGAAGAAAGCAACACTAATGATCCACAAAACCTCCTGAATGTGCGTTATATCACCAAAAGCCTAATCAGTTCAGTAATTCCAGTTAATCTACCAAAATAATGTAATTATGCTTAGTTATGTGAGATATACACTAGTGACATCCTATTTTGGTGTCAGTTTTTCAATACAGTTTCGATTATGGACAAAAAAATAAATAGAATATATGCCTCAGAGGTCAGAACCCATAATGAGGCTCTCTGGACCCCTTCCGAGACAAATCCACATTGGGTGGAAGTTTAAAAACACAAACAGTGAACTAAAATACTCCCCTGAAGTCGTGCTAACACTGAAAACTACAGGAGTGCCCCAGCCCTCTTACCCACAGGGTGGTGATTTCAGGCGCTCACAGTCGACAGGATCTGGAAGCAGACGATCCTAACACTGTCGCAAATGCCTACATCGTTCACCTCACTTCATTTCATCATGTAGGCATTTTATCATCTCACATCACCACAAGCAGGGTGAGTACAGCACAGTGGTTTGAGAGAGAGACCACATTCATATAACTTTTGTCACAGTGTACTGTTATAATTGTTTTGTTATTATTGCTGTTAATGCTACACTGTGCCTAATTTATAAATTAAATTTTATCACAGGTGTGTTGATAAGAAGAAACATAGTAATATATATGGTTCAATGCTACCCAAGGTTTCAGGCATCCACCAGGGGTCTTGGAAGGTATCTCCTGTGAAGAAGGGGGAGGGGGACTACTACAGTATGAAGTTACCAAAACACCAGCTGTCTGACTAGAATTATATGGACGGATCTGATCATCAGGTACCGTGTGCCAGGCACTGTGCTAATAGCTAGGGTTACAAACTGTCAACTTTAGTAACTTTTTTTGTCTTTTTTTGAAAGCAATATTTATAGTACTCAGGTGGAGTCACTGAAAACTAAAGACAGATTCAACATCAACTCAAGCATTCCTCCTCTTCCCTGGAAATGGGTAAATTCTTTTATACCTAAATTTCCCTCCAGTATTTAATCATGACATGTGCATATGGGAGTGCATAGACCTGCCCTTGCTTTCTATAACCATGCCTTTCCTATTTCTTTTCTTAAAGTACTTCAGGGGTGCCTGGATGGCTCAGTAGGTTAGGTGGCCGACTTCAGCTCAGGTCATGATCTCACAGTTTGTGGGTTCGAGCCCCGTGTCAGGCTCTGTGCTAACAGCTCAGAGCCTGGAGCCTGCTTTGGATTCTGTCTCCCTCTCTCTCTGCCCCTCCCCCACTCACGCTCTGTCTCCCTCTGTTTCAAAAATAAATATTTTTTAAAAATTAAAAAATTAATAAAGTACTCCAAAAGGGCTGAAGATGACTAAAATTGGAAGACTTTGTCAGATATAAAACTCCTAGATTAAGAATTTGAATAATATTTTAAAGTCTCTCACCATCATTGCCAGCGGCAAATCATTAATTCCATTTAGTTTGCATAAGCTAATGCTAGTGCGGGCTTTTTTTTCTTAAGTGATAGTCCTGAAATGAAGAACTACCTTTCAAAAATTTTCACCTTGAATATTCCTAAAATGTATTTAAAAACCTGAAGCAATCTAATGCTTGATAAACATAACCTAAAGAGTCTAGCTATGTAACAGCCAATTCTCTTTCTTTATTTTTAACCACCACTAATACCTGAATATTTATGGATATGGTGTTTGGAGAGTAAAAGTCACAGAAGGCCTTTTCTCAATGTTGTAAGCTCAGTTCCCACTCACACTATTTTACAGGGATGCAGCTGTAATAGGTGATGAATTATTAAAGTTCTCGATATCATGCAGAGCCAGAGGTGCCATTACTGTAGTTGTTTAGTAGCATCAGGGTGTAAATAATCTGTAGAATGTACAGAGCAATCGCAACACTCTGAGGAGGAAATCACAGTCTGCCAGCTAACTGCAAAAAAAAGTCCTGCAGCAACAGAGACGCACAGGCTCTCTTCTCCCCGGTCACATACGGACACTCTGATTACTTACCCAGCTTGTTTTCGTTTTTGAGAATCTGCAGCACTAACAGGCTACGCTGTGAACTTCAACAACAGTGCTTTAGAGAAAAGGCCACCTCGCCAAAGTTAAAAGAATAGATCATATCCAATAGTTTGGGGATGACAATGCTGCACGG